AAACATAAACCCTGCCGTTGCTGTCACATCCTACCCCTGTTGCACCCTCATCGTCGGCACCACCGTAATAAGTCACCCATTGAAGTAATCCCGCTGAATTATATTTTGCGATAAAAGCATCACCTGGGAAATTGGATGAGTTTCCACCACCATCCCCTCCATAGGTTGATTGGAAGCTACCACCGGTAGCGATGCCCGTTGAACTTTCCGTACTACCTACGGCATATATATTCCCCTTCTTGTCTATGGCTACCGCAGTGATGTATTCGCGATTCAGGCTACCGAAATAGGTGGCCCAACTTATTGTTGCAGCACTAGATCCGGTCGTCAGCAATACGCCAATCATTAAAAGATAAAGTTGTTTCTTAAACATTGGTCATTGAATTTATTAGTGAAAAAATCAGTATTCCGAAAAGTTGAATACCGTGGTTCATAGCAAATCAAAACCAATATTTTGGAACATAAAAACCATGTTAATTCAACTTTGGAGTTGGTTAAATCTAATCTTCTATGGAGATTTTAGGTTAATTTCATAAAAAGCGTCACCAATGAATTACAGATTGAAAGACCTGACCGATTTAGTGAAAAGCCTTTCTGTAAAAGAAAGAAGGCAGTTTGTGTCATTCGTTTCAAAATCTGATGCGTCCGTGCGTCAACCATTTTATCTGCAACTTTTTCATGGAATAGAAAGCGGCATTTTGGAGTTTTTCGATCCGGGAAAAATGTCTTCAAAAGAAGCACTGACAACAGCAAAAAAGATACTTTTTGAAAAACTAAGCGACTTTCTGGTGTTTTATCACCGAAATGGATCTGAGGAAATGCTCATTGGTAACTATTTAAACAAGGTTGAAATACTGTATCAAAAATTCCATTTACCAGAACAAGCCAACCTCCTTTTGCAAAAGGCATTGACCTATTGCAGAAATAATGAGCGATTCGATCTCCTATTGAGCGCATTACACTGGGAGCGTAAAATGAGTATGGTTCTGCAACGCGGCATTCGACCTTTAACCGATATCTTCATTGAAGAGCAGAACATCTACTCAAAGCTCCACGTGATCGGACAACTGGAAAGCTTATACTGGAAGGCAAAACAGTACAAACGCGATGGCGGATATGCCGCTGGGTTATCGCACAATGACCTTACAGAACTCTCTGTATCGGCAAATGCAGTTATTCGGCATGATAACCATACCTCGAAAAAAGCACTCTATTATTTCAACTTCATTCATGCACTCTATTACTGGATGATAAAAGACTATAAAAACGGCTATTTATCGAGCAAGGCACTTTTGAATGCAGAAATTCAGGCTGTCATGCCAAGTGATTACATGGACGGTCTGCTGGAATTTGTAAATGCATCATTTTGCATGGGCTATTTTGAGCAGTGTCTGACAGGTTTGAAAGTAGCCAGGGTATATTTTGAAGTGCAGAGTTTGGGATTAACGCAATCTTATGCAATGAAGCTGTTCGCGTATGAAAGCGTATACCTGCTTATGGTCTATAATTTCATGGGCAATACAGAAGCCCTGGATAAGACAATAGAGAATGTGGTTGATAAATTCGGAAGTAACAGCCGGTTTCTGCCTTTGGATGTACAGCAGGTTATTCTTGGGAACATGATGAATGCATACGTTGGTGCCGGTAACCTGAATAAAGCGATAAGTATCTGGTCAGGACTTTTTAAGAAAAAGACCAGGGTTCGTGAAGATGTATACGCCAGTTTATATCTTTTTAGATTGTTCGCCTATGTAAGTTGCGGGTATTACGAACTTATACCCGGTATAGCCGAAACAGGCTATAAGTACTACAACCGCAGGCGAAAAAACGATAACAAACAATTCGAGGTTGAGATAAAAATCTGCCTTCTGTTTAAAAAGGATTATGATCTTTCCAGTACACTCATTCGTAATGGTGTATTGCTTGAGATAAAAGAACTCCTGAGTCTACACATTCAATCAATGGCACCGGAGACATCCTTTCAGGAGTATTTTTCATTCTACCTGATTTGGACGAATAGCTTATCTGGTGAGGAGGCATTTTCAGAAGCTGCTTTAAAGAGCTATGCCAA